GGCAATTGTAAAACCAAATTCTTCGTAGTATTCACTCGAGCCATTAGGGAGAACAAGAAGCAGAGCAACTTGATTTCAGCCCTTGTGACAAACGCAGAGCAACTAAAAACCCAAAGAATAGGAAGAAGAAGAAGCAAAGAGACAGAAAAGAAGAGAGAAGAAGACCTCGATCAGTGCTTGGCACCATCACCGCCAAACCAGATTCACGAGGGAAAATTGAAGAAACAAAGGAGTGCAAGGAAGAGGCCGACTTGCTGCCACTGCTCGATCTCCAGTGCACGCTGCCGCTGCTCGCGGCGCTCTCTACTGCTACTCGCCGTCGCTCGGTGCAGTTTCGCCACCACTTGCCGTTGAAGCCAAGCTCGCTTGTGCACAAAGATGGAGAATGGTCATTCACGTGGGTCGGTTATGAGTTGCGGCTGGTTAAATGGATTAAAGGGGTAAAACTGGAAGAATGGTCCTATTTGGGGAATAAAACATATCTACTCTTATTTGGGAATTTCAACAACAATTTAGTCCTAATTGGGGCTATTAACTCAAATTATTACTCCTTGTTAATTACTACGGGTATGTTATAATTATTAATGCAATCTTGCATTTTAAAAAATCAATTGTTACCCCTGAGTTTTGATTATTCTCACTATATGACTATATGCTCCTTTCATGTTAATATTTGTTAAATTAAATTTAATATAATTCTTAAATTCAATGAAAATTATAACTGAAATTAATTTTTAAAGTAAAACACAATTTATTATCATAATTATGAGTCATTGTTTTTTATTGTTATTTTTTTGCTTAGCTACTCGATTGTGGAATAAATATTGATCAAAGTAGTTAAGGTAAAAGAGTCTTAATTGAGTAATATTCATGGGATACATAAAAAGAAATATTATTTGAAATATGTGTTATCAAAATTATATACACCTCTTCATCATCAATATAAAAGTCTTATTTGTAATTCATCCGGACGAATTAATCTCAATACCACTTCTTTCGTATGTAGCAAAGAACCAAGAAAAAATGAATTTTATCAATTCATGACCTAAAAGATTGATCTAGTATTGATAAGATATCTAAAAGACAAAAATGTATCGATATAAGGTTTGAATAAATGAAACATATCGATCTAAGAACTAAAATATACTCCATATATCATAGATTTTGATTTGTTTAATTTTTTATTAATTCTATTACTAATTTTGATGATTTCTTCTCAAAAAAAAGTTTATTAATTTAATAAGCTTAAATGATATTTATTTTTGTAAAACAAAAAATATAAATTCATAATATTTTATATCTTACTCGTGAGTCTTTTCCCATAACAGTAAAAAACAATGACTTATAATAATGATTGATGGAGTATATGGCCCAGGAACCCCCGGCCCACAGACTCCTACTTCTTCTACAAAGGCCCAACAGGCCCAGGAAGCATAGGAGGCCCAAAGCACAGCGTCCCAAGCCCGAGAAGCCCGCTGCACCCGAATAGGTGCCTTCGGCCTCCTTGGCCGAAGGCTCCAAATCTCACAGGGCTGCCGGTTTTCGAGCATACGAAGCTACTGGGAGAAAACAGCGTAAAACAGTGACCCTCGGCTACCAGGAGCCTTCGGCCAAACACACATGGTGCCTTCGGCATCAGGGAAGCCTTCGGCACTCCCATGCCTTCGGCTACACAAAGCCCTCGGCCGAAGGGGGAGCCTTCGACCAACAACTCAATCATCGAAGATTCCCTTTGGAGACAAGCAACCACCACATTTAATGCGACGTCACATCCACCCACCGCATTCAATGCGGTGCACATGCGATTGCCAGTGCCACCCGGTTGAGGTGACCCCTCGGCCGTTAGATTATCGCCACGTGTACTCTCATCGCATTTATTGCTGCTATAAATAGCAGCCCCTTTCCCCATTGTAAAGGACCAGAACATCTCGAGTTCATAAATATAATCGTCTCTCTCTCCTACTTGTTTGCTCTGACTTCTCTCTAGGTTATTCTCACAATAACCCCTCGGATAAGCTACCCCCCGGGTACACTGTCCATCATTTGGTGCTCTCGTTGAGAGGTCCGAACAATCAAGTAAGAAACCCTCCCCTTCGCCAAACACAAAAACACCTATCAAAATGGGAAGAACTCGTGGTCAGTCAAAAACCCTCGAGGAGAACCACGTAGCCCCCGGCGAAACCAACAGGACCGAAGCCTCCAACAGGCTCTTGGTACCCGAAGGCGGTATTATCGCCGAAATAGAGCAAGCCACCGCTGACCTCCGTCAGCAGCTCCAGAAGGCTGCCCCTGCCGCAGAAGGTTCCCCCTCCGGCCCCGGCCATCGATCTTCAGGCTGCCTTTGCGGCCTTTGTCCAGAACATGGCTCTCAACCCTGGAGCCTTCGTATCTCAGGCACCACTCCAACCTTACTTTGGGGGGAACACCGCTTGTCTGCCGCCCCCTCTTCTGTTCAACAATCCCATAATACGGATTGGCAACGCCGAGGGGGTCGTAGCACAAGACACCGCCTCCCAAGAGGTACAATCAAGGATAAACGTCACAAAGAGAAGCCCCGAACCTCTGCCCTCGAGAGGTTGGGCCAAACTCAAGAGCGCCGAGGGGTCCAGGACCGCCTCGGTGGGAAGGCAACCAGCAAACCGCAAGAAAGCGGAGGCTCCGTCTCGGGGGCCGAGGAGAGAACTCCCCCTCGGGACAAAGGCAAGCGCCCCCTCCATGCCGACGACGCCAGGCACCAAATTAATCAGGCTCAGTCCATCCGGGCCAACTCCGAAGGGATTGCCCCGAAGGATCCCAAAGACGAAATAATCGAGGCCCTCCTCCGCCAACTTGAGGAGACGCGTCAGGCGCTCCCAACGGCTTCCGCGCCGGAACCAGATCCGGAGTATGCCGCCCTCCGGGCGCAAGTGGAGGAGATGAAGCGCAAGTTCGCCGAAGGCTCCGACGAACCCCTCATCCAACTCCGCACTAGGACACCTTTCACCCCAAGGGTGCTGGCGGCTAAAATCCCCAACAAATATCGGGGACAACCCATCAAACCATACGAAGAGAAGACGGATCCCCAAGAACACTACAGCAAGTATCAAAATAGTATGATGATGATGGGGGCATCGGACGAATACTTGTGTCGTTGGTTCCTTTCCACCTTGGAGGGGCCGGCGTATGAGTGGTTCAACCGGTTGCCCGAGGGCAGCATAGATTCGTGGCAAGAACTTGGGCCAAACTCCGTAGAGTTTTTGGACAACAAATAAGTTAATGGCTCGTTTGGTAGTTTACACGTTAACTCTTTGCACGTGAAGTGATTGCATGCAAAGTATATGGAAGCAATCATTTTGCATGTAAAATAGATTACATTGTTTGGCTAGATGTGTAATTTATTTTTAAATTGCATGCTAAGGCGTTGCAGTGCTTCATAAAAGGCATGCAAAGTATTTTACCCCCCACGTAAAATACTTCACATGGTACAGTACGAAATGTTTTTAAAAAAATGTCCTACGATTTACATTAAATAATCAAACAAAACAGTGTAAACATTTTACGTCTTTATACTTCACATGCAAAATAATTATTTTACATTCTACCAAACGCCCCCTAAAAGTAAAGAAAAACTAAAACATTTTATTTTAACCCTTGGAAGTTAACAACTAAGGATGTCTTTACTTGGACTGTTTTCAGTCCCAAACCAAATCAAATCAGACTAGACTAGACCAGACCAGACTTGGATAGTTATAAAATATACAGGGACCATATATTTAACAGACCAGACCAAACCAGAAAATTCCAATCCATGAAAAAATCCTAACGCTCTAAAAACCCCTACCAGCAACCGATCTTAAGCGTCACCGATCTATGCTAGTAGTTAGTACTTAGTAGTGTGACTAGGATGAGTGGTAAAATACGATAGTACATCGTACACCCGGTTGTACGGTCCTCAACGTAAAACCGGATATTTTTGCCATTATTCCCAAGCGAGATGCAATTTACTCCTGTTTGCATCTGATTTTCCCAGGGCCAACCCCACCGCTACATCTTCGAACCATTCCCGCACTTCCTCTTGAAAAATCAACTGTTCAATAACTCAATCTGGATGCTTTTCATGGAATTAAATCGGGAGTTGCGTTAAAAATAGATGAATGGAATTATGATAATCTTACGTCGTCCATGAAGAGGGAGTAGCCCCTGCAGTCGATTCTGCTATGGATGACTACCGATGGAGATGTGGGAAATTCTAATGAATAGTACATTTCTCATGTCAATTTCCGTTTGAGACTTCGGCTTCTTCTTTTTCGTTTTTTCCCTCTAGGTTATGTTAGAACTTTAATTTGAATATAAATCTAATTTTTCAGAATTCTAAAATGAATTAATTTAGATGAAAACTTGATTAAAAAATAATTTGACCTTTATCAATTTGATTAATAAATACCCAATTACATGATTCTAATACTCAATCGAGGAGTTTTAATGCTCAATAAATATGTCTTGATGCTCAACTAACAAACTTTATGATTTTCATATCAATGCTCATTTCGTAATTTGTGCATGTTCATTTAGTATTGATGGTATACTCGTTTTAAAAATAAAAATGTTATACCTCCGTCCCGCTAAGATTGTCCCATTTTACCTTTTCAGTCCGTCCCACTAAGATTGTCCCATACTAAATTTGGTAAAATTTGTGTGGCTCTAAATCATTCTTACTATAAAGATTATAGCTGATCCCACATGCTAGATGCTACTACCACTTCTCAGAAAGAAGCAGCAACAGGGATTCATTTTTGCACTGATATTGCCGCAATGCCGCAGCTCACCTCCTTCCCGAAATCCTGAGTTTGGAGAGGTCGAGGCAATATGGCAGATCTTTAGCCTTTAGGGAAGTGTTCGTTCTTCCATGGATGGTCAAATCAAAACTTTTGTTACTTATTGGGAATTTGGGATGGTGAAACGAGCTTATATGTTTATTTCATTTCAAGAATTCAAGGTCTAGTTTTCATACGGAGTGTTTTTCTAGCTTCAATTATGATTTAATCATTTCAATAGCAGGAAGCCAGGAACAGTCTGCATCTGAGGTTACCGAACTGTCATATTGTTGGGTGATCTCTCATATATGTCTCACCCTATTATAGCTTTAGGCTATCTCATTGCTTTGTGCTTGTTATTATATCATTAAATAAGTAAACATTCAGAGGCACATAAATTATAGGGTGAGACTTATATGAGAACAAAAGAACAACTAGCTGCCACATAAATTATAAAGCGCCAAAGTCAAGAGGGCACAAAAGTTTCTGTAGAAAGCATGCAGAAATGCACATACTAAAAAGTGTCTGGCAAGAAGGCCCAAAAAAATTAAATGAATTACTCTCCTTTAATGTGCGGGTGATGGTAGTGGTTATGGAAGAGGATAAAACCCATGGAAACAGCCAGTCCTGCCAAGTACCCAGCAACAGCTCCATAGCTTACACAAATTGGCCATTCCTAAATAATAAAACTCACAGGCTTCAAACGAGGGTTAATTGGGGAAGAAAAAGACACAGGCTTTTAAAAGGCACAGAGAGATATTGATTCAAGACCCGAGATATAGATTATCTACCGATTCAAGATCTAAAAGATGAAAACGATTCATTTACTACACAAATGAATGAAACTATTAACCCAAGTTATTTTTAATCAATTCTTCATTGATGTAATCCAACAAGGAATTCTCATTGCAAATTACCATAACAAAAACTTAAATAAAAAGAGATTCAAGATTCATGAAATTTTAGTCTTTGATTGCTATATACACTAATTCTGGTTCTAAATTGATAGCTTTCATTTATTAGATCCTCTGAAATTCATATTTAACAAATCTATTAGGTCCCGAATCGTTAAACCCCCAAATAAAAAAGACACGAGAAAATGAGGAATGGCATGGACACTCTTGAGAAAGAGAATGTTCAAAACCTATTCACATGATTGGAAAAATATTGATTGGGTGATTAATAGGCATGTGGTTCAGAATATTTTCAAGGGTATTTTAACACAATTGTCTCAAAAGAGTGACATAGTTGCTTAGGGAGAAATATACCTGCCATGGCTTTTCCCAATCAAGTGGCATTGGCCAGGCACCAAACCATGCTCCAATAATGGCTCCGTGGGCAGGGAAGCAGATCATATAGTCTATGTTTTTATTTGGTCTACACGTCAATAAAATTACATATGAATAGTTGCCATAAAAAGATGTTGGTTTTTGTAGAGTTATGGAGGGAGCAGATACTTTTAATTTTTAAATGACCGAGACATTGAGTTTATAGTCTTGTACAAATTTACTATCATCAGGTAAAAGTAGTTTTTCCTTTTGATGAAAAAATAACTCCCCTCCTTTCCTCCTCCAAAACCAACTCCCAAAATAGCGTAATACAAATAAAATCAAAACAAATCAGGAAATGAAGTTGTGAGAACAAACTTTGTTTGAGCAAATATACGGTGCCAATCAGACAACGACAAACCAAACACAGAAGCTGCGGGAACAAACTGTCATCAGCATTGCAGGAGAAGAGTACAAGAGATTAGACCAAGACAGAGGACAAAGCTTCATATATGTACAAATTTATGCTAAGATTAGACCAAAAAACTCACTATTTTTTGGCTTGAGATAATGATGGAATAAAGCAAAATGACTCACTAAACTGTCTGCGCTTCTTTGTCATGAAGCAGCAGTCAGTCCATGCAATTTTCAACGCAATTTTCATAATGGGTCATCCGGAAACAGTCTCTTTGTGCTTTAGTACATGGGTAGGGTTGTGTACATCCGACCCCCCTACCTCACCATATGTGGGGAGCCTTTGCGGAACTGGGGTAATGTTGTTGTTGTATTAGACCAAAACAGAGGACAAATCATAATATATACACCTTCATGCTTTGTTTGTTCCATATATATAGAAAAGAAAGAAGGGGAGGGGGACGATCCGTATTTGGTTAGAAAATAGAAGACAAATTTGATGTGCAAAATTAATGAGGGATTCACATGTTCTTGTGAATCTAAATTGTCTGTGTTATTGTGCACAAAGAGAGGAACACTTCTTGATATTATGAAGCACAAAGAGGGGATGGTGGAGAAGATTGTATGATGGAAGATATAGCAGCACTTGAGTTAAAGATAATACTTGATTTTTTTTGTAGAATTATGAAAAGGTAAACTATTAAGCATCATTTTACTTTTGACATTGTTTTACTATTTCCGTTTGGATGTATATATTTGTTGCAATATTCTATAATAATTTCCTTTCAAATAAAAAATAAATAGTGAAATTATTGTTTACATAAATTATTTGTATGCATATAAAGTATTCTTGTATTATTCTACATATTAACAGATGAGTTTTTTAATATTTATAAATATACGCTAGTGTCAGTATCATGTATTTTAGAGGAATGCCATTTTTCCGTGTCCATCTTTTTGTGTCCCCGTATCTTCATATCTGTGCCGGTGCAACATAGCTAATAATTGTGCATTGAGTGGCCCAAGTATGAAAAGCATATCAAAGTTGAATTATGTATACACAGTTACCGTGAGGACTGACATAAGAAGAGACCAATACAATGTCACGCTGAAGTACCTGTTAATTAATATGATGAAAACATAGTTAAAACTAAACACTAACAAGTTAGTAAGCGCAGGAAAGAACGAGTGATTTTTGAGCCACTGACTTTCATACTTCTATTCATCAGTTCATATCAGAAGAGTAAATATTAAAGGATTTGTATTGCCACATACTGAAAGCCAACCGGTGCTCCCAAAATAATTGCTCCAGCTCCAATCAAAACAGCTCCTGTAAATATAAAAATATAAATTCCCACAGGGAAATACGCAAACCGTGTTGTTAACCAGATGGATAATGTGTAAATATGGAAAACAATAGAACAAGTTTGTTGGTTTTCTAAGGGTAGAACCGTAGAAGTATTCTAAAGATTTTAGTGTTTATCATTTCAGAGTAGAACTCAGTTGTAATGTATACTTGCAAACATGAGTTTAGTCTTCCCAATTCAAAACTTAAAGGCTCTTCATGTAGTATCATCATCAAGTCAACTTCAAAGTTAGAGACATTAAAGAACAAGGAATCATGAAAAGGCAATTACTTGTGTTCTGTAATTATCTAGCATTAACGATCACTTTTCAAACATCTACAGAAAGTCAGAAAGATTGAAATTCACAAATGATAATCAACCGTCAAAGCAATAGTCTGATGAGTACATTGATAACTGTTGAGTAACACATATCAATCGGGTTGACAAGCCATTGTCAAAAGTGTTCATTATGTCACTCCATGACCAATGTCATTGCGTGATTGCATCTTAGTAACGACATTTCATATATCTACCCCATCCAAGAAAGATACAGGTAAATCGATTCTCTTACCCACTTGATGAGAACTATCTTCCCCAGCATACCTGGAATCTAGGAGGCCTTGCATACATGTCTTGACATTGCTCGCTTTGTTTTATCCTATAGTTGTCTAGCCTTTCAGTGTAGTCTAATATACAAGTGTGAAGTAATCCTCACTTATTGAGGATCCAATTGAAGTGGGTAAAGCCCAATTTAGTGCATCAGAGTAATAATGGCTAGTAAACAACCTATTTTCCATTAGTCCACCCTTTAATATGTTAGTCCGACTTGGGTAAGAGGGTGTGAGTGTGTAGTGAGTTTGATTCTAGTATACATGTCTGCAACTTTGAGGTGTAACAAATTAATAATATCAAAGTATCCTTTTGAGGTGAGTTAGGCCTATTTAACACTAGATGTGTGAAATTCCCATATTCATTAGGATATTGGATGCAATAGAGTGATAGACATGAAATAAATATATAGCATGGAAAACAATAAGCAAAGATAACACATGCAATGAACTAGCAAGACTTTGCATTTACTTCGCATAATAAATCCAGTCGAGTGTGCATGCACCAGATCAGGGGGAAAAACACACACTAACACATATATAATACTCTGTTAATACACAAAATACATTATCTCTAATCAGAGTGTACGGATTAAGAAAATACTCTAGCACTTTCTTTAAGACTAACCAGTGGGAAGACCCAATAAACCTCGTCCCAGAGCTTTGAAGTACTGTTCAAATTCAAAAGGAAAGAATTGAAGCAAATTTCAAATTAAAAAAATGCATACTACTAGTTCATGTAAGCTTACAGAGCATTGATCTGGATCATGTCGAAAGAGACTATATAGCATAAGTACTACCGGAGACTCAGTTACCTGTGAAACCACATTCAATAATTAGATCAGTGAGGGAAATATGTATTGTAGTAAAAAGTTATGACATTAAAACGAATACCAAAATTAGACGGAGAGTTTGAACAGGATTTGAAACGATGTCGGTGGAGTATATACACTTTGCCACCCAGAATGCAGAAACTAAGCCCAATCCACAACTCAGATGTAGAAGAAATGCTTTTGCAGGGGTTATGATAGATGTGTCATCATTCCCACCTTTTGGATTATGTTTCATTGAAGAGAATGTCCGTTCAACACCAACCGTTGTAACTGGTAAAATCAATGCCAAATTTACATGCAAATACACCAACAGATTACTACTATGTATGCTTGATAGTTTTCTAGCCAAATCATTAATAGTAGAACAAAAATGCAAGCTGCCGTTCTTATTCCTAATTTTTAATAATCATGTTTAAATTTAAAATAACAGTAAAAGACTCTGATTTTAACTATCTCAAGCAACAATCGAACTAAATTGAAAAACACATGCAGAAACACAGATTAATGAATCAAAAATCGTACTGTGAATCTAACAACATCTTAACTGATACGCTACGACACCTTAGATAATTAATGTAATTAACAACACCTTCCCATTATTTAATTATACCTCATTGAAGATGAAGAGATGATATTCCAATCATGAAATTGATTTTTCAAGCTTTGAAACAAACAAAAATCTCTTGCGAATGAGTGTCTTACTCTGAAAGTCACATTAAACCGTGATTGAGAGCTAGAGTGGTGCGGGCGTGGTGCGGCAGAGTAACCATAAAGGAGGACTGGTATTGAGGCTTTTCCCTAACTAACTGGTGAACTGTGCGGAATGTGAACTGGTGAAATGGTACGCAGGTGAAATTACATACTACGTATTTAGGTTAGTTTTAAGAGATGAATGAGCAGAAAAAGTATGGATTTTAACTTTCATAAATGCTTCTTACTTTACATAAGTTATACACAACTTGTAAACAAATGTAGGTCACACACATTTGGTGTGCTGACACATGAGAGCTGTTTGTGAGCACTGCCAACTCTTAGACCATTTGTAGTGGTTAAAGATTGCCAACTCTTAGACCATTTGTAGTGGTTAAAGATTAGGAGTCAAAAAATTAAAAATGGAACTTTTAGACTCTTAATTGGGTGTAGTGGTGGATTAAAAGAGGAAGTAAAAGTGGAAAGGGGAGTGGAGGAGTGTAAAAATAGATGAGTGGGTTGACAGGGTAAAAAAAATGAAAAAGAAAAAGAAATTTGGGGGAGGGGCAGCTTGCAGCTTCGTACGCTGCTGCAAAGAAAGCAGGCTTCCATCATGGTGATGTCATTATTACCCAAAACTGTTTCAAACTTGTTATGTAACGGAAAAATAGAAATCAACGGAGTAAACCGTTGCCCAGATAATCAAAGATTAAAATACCGTTGCCCAGAGCCAGAAGGCTAAAACCAGATGATAGACTGAATCCCACAAGGGGTTTAAATAACCTACTAATGATAGACTCCGGGGAAACCCTAATTAAGCCCAAAATAAATACTACCTCCGTCCCGCTAAGATTGTCTCATTTTACCTTTTCAGTCCGTACCACTAAGATTGTCTCATACCAAATTTGGTAAAGTTGTTGTGGCTCTAAATCATTCTTACTTTATTCTTACTTTATCAATTCAATATCACTCAAATAAACCACTTTTTATTAATTTGCGTGTCACTTCCTCTTGTCCCATTGTTAGTGGGACGGAGGGAGTAACTCCTAATTAGGCCCATAATAACTCTACTAGATACTCTACTAATAATAGGCCCAAACTAAAACATAACATTAACTTAATAATATTAAATAAACTATGATGACAGCCCTAACCTGGCCCACGGAGGTGGGACCAAGACCGGTCCCGTCCCATGCTCTTCCCGCTCTCTATCAAAACTCTTATAAATTTTGTAATTGTTCTCCAATGTTTTAAAAAAATGTATCAAAATTCATGAATTTTTAAGATCTTTCATATGACACCAATATGTAATATATAAAATGAAGACAAGAAATATGAAATTTTAGCTGTTGAATTTTTCTTTGAGCCCCAAAAAACACGAAACACAACATTTTGATTTATGGAGCCTTCAACATAACTGAATATTTCGTAATCAAATATTACTTGAACTAAGTTCATTTTTTTGTTAATCGAAAAACATTAAAAAAAATTATTTACTTTTACATTGAAATGTGTTTTTTTGTTTCATAATTATTCAGGGGAAAAAAATAAAAGTAAAACATTACTTATAATAATTTAGTTAATTTTTTACTAAATTGATGTGTACAAAATATGCAGAGTGTATTTTATTGACGGTACACAGATGCAGGGAAAAACAATATTGACATAGTTTAAACACTGTTTTCATATAGACGGAGTCCAAATTTAAAAATTTGGACTCTTGACCACTACAAATGGTCTTATACAAGTATTACTTCTATTAGCATAAGCCTTATGCTAGCACAGACAACTCTTGTCTGTGTTCATACTTCATAGTCATTAATTTTCGTGTCAATAAGTACACTGACAGCTGTCTGACATTGACACTGATGTGAAAATCAATCTCTGTGTGTGAGGTGCCTTAGTGCACAGAAAATATTTTTTGTGCTTAGAAAATTATTTCATGTGACCAAAATATGGATTTTTCAGATAGATTTTACCACACAGGCATTAGTTTTGGGACTCAAAGACATTAGTTGTCTGTGTGATCAATTTTAATTGTCTGGGTGAACAAAATATTTAATTGTCTATATACGTGCAAATGAATGATGTAGTAGTTGTATGTGTGATCAATTTACATGTAATTTGATAAAAATTGAAAAGATAATAAACATAGATAAAATAGATAAATTCGCTGATTTTGTGCAAGTAATGGAAAAAATTGAATATAAAAATTAGAGAAGAAGAGAATGGAGACAGTTAGAGGAGGATGAAGAAGAGAAGAAGATGATTCCATCTTATTTTGGATATCCGAATGGATTGGGTAGAGAGGGAAGAGAGAAGGAAGAAGAGGAAAAAACGAGAGAATGAGAATGGTAAATGTTTAGGCTTACATAGTGTACAAGTTGTGTACAGCTTGTGTACAAATGCAATTTTCCTTTAACTTTGTATGTGTTTAGATAAAAGTGTAAAAATACTTCTAAAAATACATATTTAGTAGTTCTACCTGTTTATGAGCAGAAGAAACATACTGTATATTAAAGTGTTTCGATAAAGTGTAAAAGTACTTCAAATCCAAATTGCTCTTAGAAACAATCTTTTAGAAGCTAGGAGAGATCAGCTTGAAAAATTGATTTTGATTCTAGGCTTTTTCCCAAGAATATTACTAAATTAAATGCAAAAGACGAAAATATGACTTATTTTAAAAAGTGACCAGTTCCCAATGACTCATCATCTATGATCTATCAGTGACTTGTTACTCTGAAATACACTACAATGACTCTTGTAGTCTTGTCCAGTTACTCGTACACAGTAACCACTCATATTTTGGTTTGAAAACATAACTACTCATCTTTTTATCTGAGAAAACTCTGTTAGTAGTGGCGGAACTAGTACGGGTGACTTTGGGGGCACATTAGCACAAATCATATATATCATGCATATAGTAATAAACAAAAAATAAAATTTAAATAAAACAACTAATTAAAGAACAACTTAATTTTGATTAGAAATTGATGCGTCAAATTTTAGGAAAGGTTAGTTGACTATTCCCAAAAGTGTTTGAGTTCATTACCATATCTATATTCCAGCCAATTAAATTCTCCAAATACCATTGCTTTTCAAATGATCTCCTATGCCCACCAAAATCTGTTTGTGGAAAATTTAACTCACGTGGTTGACAAGGGCCTTTTGTCAATCAACGTCTCCTCAACTCTTCTCTAATATTAACATCATAACTATCTATCGGCCCAGGATCACCAACAATGTCATCGCCCAACAATTCAACTTTCTATTTGAGGCTTTTTAACATTATTTTAATGGTTAGGAATGACATTATCTGACGAAGAAATTAAATTATTCTATGAAGATCCCTAATGCTCGGCTTTTGAGGAATTGGTGTATAAAATCTTAAGTTAGGGATTGCTACCGAAAGACTACAATTGAAATAATATGAGTATGATTGTAAAAATCACATTATAACAAACTAAATTGACAAATCCAAAATTACAATACAATTAACACTTTCAATGAGATTATGAGAATAGAAATGCTAAAAAATTCAACAATTTATAAAATGAAGAGAAAAGTTAGATTAAGCCGCAGAGCCGCTTACCTGCAAGACGGAGATGGTTGCAACGGAGATCAAGTCGGAAATTGGAAGAAGGGCCGAAGGGGTGGTCGCCTACTCGCCGTCCGTCCGTCCGTCGTTGGGTTGCTCCGTTGCCGTTGCAGCGTGCACTTGCGCAGAGGTGGCTTCCTTGACTGCTTCCTCTTCCTTGTTTAGCAACTTAACACTTGGAGTTGGGCTGCCACTCCAGCCAGGGCCGGGTAGATAAAACGACAGAGCCCAGGGGTACATAAGAGAAGGTAATTCTATTCACAACCCCCACTTTATTCACAACCCCCACTTTACTCCTTTACTAAACACAGCTACTATTTTTTAAATATAATGAATAAAATAATCGATTGTTCAATTATACCCTTATCGGCGGCTTATCCCCTCAATCCCTTAGGACATGTTTACTTCACCGGTTATTAAACGGTGCTTATTAAGACCCGTGTTAATAAGCGGCGCATAAAATAAACAATGTTGTAAGACCGTGTTTACTTCAAACGGTTTAAAACACCGCTTAACATTAAAATGTCCAAAATAATCCTATACATATATATACACACAAACATTCATGAACACAAGTATATAATATAATATGTGTGTCCATACCCCTAACCCCCTTACCCATCCTACCTTACCCCGACCCCACCCACCGCCTACCCCTACCCCCTACCCCTACCCTACCTACCTGACCCCACCCTAACCTGTCCCCACCCTACCGCAACCCTACCCCCGACCCCATAGGCCCCTACCCCCATAGGCCCTTACCACATCGACCCCACCCCGACCCCACCTTACCCTACCTTACCCCAACCCTGCCCCTACCCCTACCCCACCACACCTACCCTGCCCCTAGCGCCTCTATCACATCGGCCCCCACCCTGACCCCACCACCCTAGGTATAGTGGGGTAAGGGGTATAGGGTGGGGTGGGGTAGGTGGGGTGATTGAGGTCAGGTGGTGGTAGGGTGGGTCGGGTAGGTAGGGTAGGGGTGGGGTAGGGTAGTGGTAGGGTGGGGGTTGAGGTGGGGTAGGGGGTAGGGTAGGGGTAGGGTCGGATAGGGTAGGGTGGGGTCGGGTATGTGGGTAAGGGGTGGGGTAGGTAGGGTAAGGGTAGGTGTGTGGTCGGGTAAGTAGGGTAGGGGTGGGATTGGGTAGGTAGGGTAGTGGTAGGGTGGGGTCGGGTAGGGGTAGGATGGGGTAGGGTAGGGGTAGGGGTAAGGTGGGGTCGGGTAGGGGTAGGGTAGGTGGGGTAAGGGTGGGGTGGGGTCGGGGTAGGTGGGGTAAGGGTAGGGTGGGGTCGGGGTGGGGTAGGGTAGGTGGGGTAAGGGTAGGGTGGGGTCAGGGTAGGTGGGGTAAGGGTAGGGTGGGGTTGGGGTCGAGGTGGGGCAGGGATAACAATAGGTTAAGGGCAAGGGGTAAATTCGGAAACTGAAAAAGGTTAAAGTGCCGCTTAATTAATACATGGGGGGTGGTATGCTTAATAAGCGGCACTTTAAGCACCTCTTTCGGTTAGTAAGCGGCTTTTTAAGCAGTGTGCGTGTTTACTTCACCTGTCTTACTAACCTAACTGTGACTTTAGCAGTGAAGTAAACACCTCCTTAAATTTCGACGGCTTCTAGTTTGGCTATATTGTCATGATTTTTCCTTCTCTCTGGATCTCTCAATCCCTTATCCCCTCACCGCATCCCTTATTCTTACAAATTTGAGACTGGTTTACATCAATTATCTTCTTTTGGGGTAGTAGACTCCTGTAAATCATATATCACTTCCGCTAGAGGCGGTGGATACAATATTTGATGATTTTGGATTTACTTGTCCACTAGAGAACCGTGATCTAAATAGAAGAAACCCTGGATTTATTTGATGTTTGAGTTGAAGCAGAAAATGGTCTGTTTGGAGCGGCAGACGGCACCTGGCTTTTTAATTTTGTTTTTTTCAACGATGTGCTTCTCTATCTTATACCTTGGAGCAAGCTGAAACCGTGACTTATTTTCTTCCAAGAATTCATCTCTTTCATCCCATCATAGAATATAGCATCTGAATGATATTAAAATTGTGGTCTATTGTAGAGAAACTGCTGCTCAAATGATCTTTGAAGCATTACAAATTCTGAGACGATCTTGGCGAACTCGAAGCAGGGGAAAAGGATATAATAGGACAACTGATTTTTTAATTTATTTTATTTAAATATAACGGTTATGTTTAGTTTTTTTTTTTGGATGAAATGTAAATATATATTAACACCCAGAAAACTTATACATCACATGTCCTAAATCTCCTAAAACCTCCATCACCCCCACATAATGCGGGGTTGAAAGGAGGTTTTCATTCGATCTATTCTAAGCCAAAAAACCCGGTATAAGACCTGGCGCATCAAGAAAGTTCAAAAAATACATCTGTATAGCACCTGCTCGCACATCGATCAGAGGCTAAAAATCAAAACAAAGTACAAAGGGGTTGCAAAGAGCATACACCTTAAAATCAAAGATCATGCTCCATGCCACGGCATCGAAGATGTCCCTACCACGGTGTCTCGGGTCCTCACGGCGTGGCATCCAAGATATCCATGCCTCGGCTCATCAAAATAATCATGTATTAGTCTATCCAAACCGCGGCATCCATAATATCCCTGCCACGGCCTTCTACTCAAAATGTTATCAAGTCATGCGGGTATAATTTGAAAAGTATTTTATACACCACATGCTTAATTTTTGTGACGACCTCTTTTTCCCTTATGTTTGCCTCATCAAACCGAGTTGAATTCCTAGCATGCCATAGGTAGTATACCGTGGCACTAAAGGCTATCCGAACCGCTTTCCCCTTGATTTTTGATCCATTGTAGTCTTTTAAGATCCATTTGACCGAGCTAAGTAGCGTGGTCATCTCTCGTGTCATATTCAACCATTCCTTTACTTCCTCCCAAACCCTACAAGCGTAAGAACATCGAAAAAATAGGTGTGACATTGTTTCCAAGCCACCCTTGCAGAGGTCACAACGGTTAACAATATGAAGGTAACCAAGGTTATCCTGTGTAGGTAACCGGTTCCTCAAGGCCAACCAAACATTGAACGAGAATTTTGGGGGTACGTATGATTTCCATATGAAACTCATCCACGCTTTTGGCGTCCCCTTTGTCCTTAGTAACTCATAAATTTTTCCCGAAAGGAGTTTACCATTTTCGGATCTAGCATTTAGGCCCATAATGGTATCATTCAGGTTATTAAAACATCCCAAAATTTGGTCCCGAATGTGACTCAATTTTTTCATAAACATTGAGTCACGGTTGTGTGGGATAAAATCCCACACACTTCTTCCGTGAAGATAGACCCCATTGATCCACCTCACCCAAAGAGTATCCTTCTTCCTATGGACATCCCAAAGTGTTCGGGAGAGAAGGGCATTGTTCCAAACCTTAGCATTATGAATGCCAAGGCCCCCCTCATCCTTAGGTAAACAAATGTCATCCCATGCCACTTTAGAGAATTTTCCACCCCACAAGAAAACTCTACATATAGAGACAATCCTATCCAAGATAGTTTGGGGTACCGGAAACACTTGGAGCCAAAAAGATTGGACCCCTTGGATCACAGATCTAACCAACTCAAGTTTCCCGGCATAGGACAGGGTCTTTGTGTTCCAGGTCTTCAAAAAGTTAGAAATGGTATCGATCAAGGGCGAGTATTGTGCTACCGAAACTTTTAATGGGGCGAGAGGAATTCCAAGGTATTTGACCGGGAAAGTCCCTCGCCCAAAGTCCACAAGAGCCATGATCTCAGCAAGATCTGTTTCATTAACACCCCCGATAAAAATGTTAGATTTATCATGGTTCACCATTAGGCCCGATGCGTCCCCAAACTCCGTAAGGGCTTTGACAAGTACTTCAATGGAATACGTGTCACCCCTTGAGAAGAGTATTAAGTCATCCGCATAGGCCAAATGAGTGATGCTAAGTTTAGCACATTGGGGATGAAAATTGAAATTTGGCCCTTTGGATTTAAGGTTTAATAATCGAGAAAAATATTCAAGACAAAGGACAAAAAGAAGCGGAGACATTGGATCTCCCTGTCGAATTCCTCTTTTGCCCTCAAAATGACCATACAAACATCCATTCAAAGATATGGAAAAGGAAGCCGTGGTTACGCACTCCATAATCCAACCAATAAATCTAACGGGGAAGCCCAAACCCCTTAAGACCTCATTGAGAAATTCCCAAGAGATTGTGTCATATGCCTTACGCAAATCTACCTTGATCATGCATCTAGGTGAAATACGCTTCCTCGTGTATCCTCTAACAAGTTCTTGGGCAAGAAAAATGTTATCAAACATGAGGCGGCCATCAACAAAAGCACCTTGGGCTAAGTCAATCAAGCCGGGAAGGCATTGAGATATTCTAGCCGCCAGGATTTTTGTAATGATTTTATACATCACATTTGTACATGATATAGGTCTATAGTCCGACACCTTCGGTGAGTGATTCGTTTTTGGGATAAGCGCAATAACCGTATGGTTTACTTGTTTAAGGAGCTTTCCCGAACGAAAAAACTCTTTGACGGCCCGGACTATATCATCCCCAATAAAATTCCAATTTGCCTTAAAAAATGCAGATGAGTATCCATCCGGTCCCGGTGCCTTGTCATTGCCAATGGTAAATAGAGCATTCTTAATCTCTATCGTGTCAATCGGAGCAAGTAGGCTATCATGAGCACTTGGCTCAATCAAAGGACCGGTTCCCAAGACCGCATGATCTAGGGGTTGGCACTCGGAATAGGTACCAAACAAATCAACAAAAAAATTTACAAATTCATTCCCAACTTGCTCTAGAGAAGTAGTGAGGCTACCATCCTCAAGCGTGATAGAAGAAATGGAGTTCTTCATAGTCTTCTTCCTCATAATCGCATGGAAGTACTTTGTCCCTTTGTCCGCTTCAAGAATGTGGTTTGCCTTCGCCTTTTGTTGGTAGAAACTAGTTTCAGCCTCAGCAAGGAACTTTGCTCTTTTCCTAGCTTCCATCAACTGGCTCCGGTTATCCTCGTCCAACGGATTCTGGAGAGCAATTTTGTGTAATCTCTTAAAATCTTCTT